TTTTTTGGTTTATTGTAGAGATGAGGTCTTGCTAAGTTGCCCGGGCTGGTCTCGAACCTGGGGGCTCAGGCAATTCACTCGCCTTGGCCTCCCAAAGTGCTGGGATTAAAGGCTGAGCCACTGAGCCTGGCTGAATTTTTTTTTTTAATTAGCAGGGTGTGGTGGCACACCTGCACTCCCAGCTACTCAGGAGGCTACGGTAGGAGATTTGCTTAAGCCCAGGAATTCAAGGCTGTAGTAAGTTATGATTGCACCACTGTACTGCAGCCTGAATAACAGGATGAGAGCCTGTCTCAAAATAATAATAATAATAAAAATAAAATAAATTCCAGTCAGGTTCCAGTCAGGGGTACCAAGTCCCCTAAGTGAGTCTTTATCTTGTCCCAGGCCTTAATCTATCTTTATTAATATAGATCTTGCCTTTATCTCATAAGAGCCAGTGGCCAGATTAAGGGTACACACTCTCCTGGCACCTATTAACCACACTGTCTCATGGCCAGGCAGCTGTTCATCTGACATAGAATGCATCAGAACTAAATTCACACCAAAACCAAAAAAAAACCTGTCAAGTGCAGCTTTCTACCAATCTTGTGACTATCAGTTTTATTGCTACTGATGTGGGTGCTCTGACTAGTTTACAATCCAGAGGCCCAACCTTCCATATAAGCCACTGTTTCAACCAAACATGCGTAATGCCGAGACACACATCCACCAGAATGGGTATCCACATTAAAAAGCTACCTTTTTTTGTGTACTCAATTAATATATTGTCATCCCATAACGCTGATGACAACACACTGGGTCAGAACCTCACTGCTGGAGAAAACATTGCTTCAGACAACATTGCCCTGGCCTTGGCACCCCATTTGTAGCTGGCTTTAAAAGTGGATCAGTCTACCGCGCCTTTGGGAGGCTGAGGTGAGTGGATTGCCTGAGCCCGTGGGTTCGAGACCCGCCTGGGCAGCGAGACCTCATCTCTATCATAAATCAAAAAATCAACCGGGCGTGGTAGCACGTGCCTGTAATTCCGGCTACTCGGAAGGCTGAGGCGGAAGGATCGCCGGAGCCCAGCAGGTCGAGGCTGCGGTGGCCGGGAGCGGCCACTGCACTCCAGTCTGGGCGACAGAGTGAGACTCCAACTCAAAAAAAAAAAAAAAAAAAAAGTGGATCAGTCTAAAAGAAGGAACTCAGGGGTATCCAAATAGGAAAAGAGGAAGTCAAGCTATCCTTCTTTGTAGATGATATGATTTTATATCTTGAAAACCCTGAGAGTCTATCAAAAGTTTCCTTGCACTGATAATCGACTTTGGTAAAGTCTCGGGGTTCAAAATCAATCTGCAAAAGACAGTTGCATTTCTTTTTTTTTTTTTTTTTT